TTTAGGAAACACACACATTTTCTGAGTGGACCAGGCTCCTGTGAGCCCATGGCTGGAGCCAGCTCTAGTTGAGGAGCAGGCAGTTCAGAATTGCAGGTACATGAAGGATGAAGATGGGGTAAGGGGTGGGGGTTAGGAAGTGGCACGGGTTAGACTGAGGGGACTGTGATGGGGTGCAGGCGACTCCAAAATCGTGCCTAGGAGGCTGTGCTCAGAGGGCTGTGGGAACCAAGGGCTATTTTTTTTTTTTTTTTTTTTGCGGCACGCTGGTCTCTCCCTGCTGTGGCCTCTCCCGTTGCGGAGCACAGGCTCCGGACGCGCAGGCTCAGCGGCCATGGCTCACGGGCCCAGCCGCTCCGCGGCATGTGGGATCTTCCCGGACCGGGGCACGAACCCGTGTCCCCTGCCTTGGCAGGCGGACTCTCAACCACTGCGCCACCAGGGAAGCCGTGGTTTGTTTTTTATGTTGAGATATAATTGTATAAAATCCACCCATTTAAAACACACAATTTAATGGCTTTTAGTTTATTCACAGCTGTGCAACCATCACCAGAGTCAGTTTGAAAACATTTTCATCTAAGGAGACCCTGTCCGGGGCTTCCCTGGCGGTCCAGTGGTTAAGACTCCGTGCTTTCATTGCAGAGAGCGTGGGTTCGATCCCTGCTGGGGAGGTAAGATCCCACATGCTGTGTGGCGCGGCCCCAAAGATAAAAATAAAGAAACCCTGTCCCCATCAGCAGTCACGCCCCATTTGCCCACGTGCCCCCAGCCCTAGGCAACCACTAATCTACTTTCAGCCTCTAGATTTGCCAATTCCGGACATTTCATACAAATGAATCCCATAACATACGACTTTTTGTGTCTGGCTTCTTTCACTTAGCGTAACGTTTTCTAGCTTCGTCCACGTAGTAGCACGTTCCAGTGCTTCATTCCTTTTTGTGTATGTGTGGCAAAATGCACATAACATGGAATTGGTCATTTAAACCGTGTTTAAGTGCACAGCTCAGGGGCATTAAGCACGTTCACATCGCTGTACAGCCATCACCCCCATCCATCTCCAGGACCTTTTCATCTTCCCAGACTGACGCTCTTCCCGGTAGACGGTAATGCCCCATCCCCTCCCCCAGCCCCTAGCGGCTGCTTTTCTGTTTTCTCTTACTACAGATATACTGATTCTGGACATTTCATATAAATGGAGTCATATAACTTATAACCCCTTTTTCACTCAGCATAAGGGTTTAGAAAGGAGTTCATCTATGCTGTAGCAGGTGTGAGAATCTCATTCCTTTTTATGGCTGAATAACGTTCCATTCTAGGGATGGACCACATTTGGTTTCTCCATCATCCGTGGATGGACATGGGCTGTGTCCACCTTCGGCTGTTGTGAGTATGTTGCTGTGTACGTGGGTGTTTGAGTGTCCACTGTGTGGACGGTGGGTGAGCGTTGAGCAGAAGGCAGTATGACCAGCTTTGTGGGTTAGAAGGGTCGCTCCTGCAAGGGGTGGGGTGTCTGCGGGGGTCAGGTGGGGGAGAGAGACTAGAAGGACACCTCCAAGCCTTGGGGAAGTGTGATGCACAGTTGCTCTCCTCGGCTCCCAGCATGCACGCTGGAGGAGGCTGCTTTTGTTACAGTTTCCTGGAATAGGCAAAACTTGCCTGATCCTGACGTGATGGAGGAGAAAAACCTCCATCGTAATGTCTTTGCTTTCATCGATGCAGTGAATGCCAGCCCCAGTGCTAAATCCTTTCCATCCACGATCCCAGGGAACCCCCGCCATGGGGAGGCAGGTCTCATGAATTCACAGGTGAGAAGACAGAGGACGTGTGCTTTCCACAATGTCACACCTGGGGGAGCGGGGCCAGGCTTCAGACAGACCCCACGCTGCCCAGCGTGACTGCAGCCACGAGCCACGTGTGGCTTCTGAAGTCTTGAATGCGGTTCGCCTGACAGAGGAGCCGAACTTTTAATTGCATTTAATTTTAATTAACGTAAAATCGGATACTCAATTCAGTTTTTGGCAAACTTTCAAGTATATTTGAAATGACTTGGGTACATGAATGTATTTTTTCAATGATACATTTTCTGAACTTTAAATGCAGATCAAACGTTTCTGATGACAATTTAGTGCCCCTGCTGAAATGTGCTGGGGGTGTAAAATACACACTGGATTTTGAAGACTTTAGCATGAAAAGTAAACTGCAAAATGTATCATTAATAAGTTTTCAGGTTGGTTACATGTTGAAATGATAATGTTTCAGATATAGTGGATTCAAACAGAATGAATTATTAAAATGGATTCCACCTACAAGGAGCTATCATTCAGCCATAAAAAGGAATATAGTACTTCCTGATAGACACGAGTGAACCTTGGGATTATGCTGAGTGAAAGAAGGCCATGCATTACACGATTCCATTGATATGAAATGTCCAGGACAGGAAAAGCCATGGACACTGAAAGTGGATTAGCGGTTGCTAGGTCTGGCATGGGCAGGGTGTTGGAATGGCAGCTATGGGGCATGGGGTGTCTTTTGGGGGTGATGGGCACATTCTAGGATTCAGAGCACTCGTGCTGGGGTGCAGAAGCAGGGTCTAGCAGGGTCACACTCCCTTGACTGTGCTGACTTACTGCCCCAGGAGGGCTCCTTCCTGCCCAGGCCAAGGGCAGTATTGAACACCAGGAAGGGCAGGGGCAGACCTGCCCTGACCAGGGCTCTCCATGGCTCTGTGTTCTGAATACCACGGTGTGCTTCCTCCTTTCAATGACAGCCCGAGCTCCTGGCAGCCAATGTCAAGGCTGAGCCGGCCCAGGACCACATTCAACGGCAGCGGCACCCGGGCCACCCCTCGGGTCCCGTAATGCACCACCAGCCGCATGGGGCTTGGGGCTTCCCTTGGCCAGACTGGACTCCCCCCTCTGTCCTTCGCTGAGGTGGCCTGCTGGGGTCACAGTGATGGGGCTCCTGCAGAAATCTGGGATCTGCCGCAAATACCGGCTTCTCAGCCTCACGCCTACAAATGAATTAAGTCTTGGAGACCCTCCCCCCTCCTTAGAGCCTTAAATAACCCTGCACCCTGACCTCACAGGCGCCTCTCGAAGAGACCCAAGCCCCGAACAGGGCTCCGAGGAAGCTGCCCGGCACGAGGGGTAGGAAGTGCGACAAGCCCCACTGGAGGTGAGATGTCAGAGGTCACAGTCAGGGGTACAATCCATGGACCATGGCATTTGACTTAATTTTGAAAGTCGAAGCACAAGCAGTGAAAAGTCTGTATTTTGCCTTTTCAAACAAAACGTAAAAAGCCCACACCCAGCAATTCAGTGGGGTGTAATCTGACTCCATGGCGGGCCAGAGGTCTTTTTCTACACCTATGGTTTCCCAGGAAATTGTGACAGCTGAATTTGCATGATGTAGCTACAAATGGAATTTGCAAAATGTGTGTGTTCACGTGGTTTGGACGTGAGAATAAGTCCTTCACCCAGTCATGTTGGGAAGAGTCAAAACTTTCACTTCCCCTACCCCAAGAACAAGGCCTGTGCTTAGTAAATGCGTTCTGGGGGGAGGATGCAGGAGGGATGGGTGGGTTGGATGGGTGGAGGGATGGAGGGATGGGTGGAAGGATAAAGGAGGGATGGACAGAGAGATGTGGGAGGGATGGGTGGACTGCAGGTTCTGGGGAGGGCCTTTGCAGGAGAAGCTCCCAGCACGTCCCTGAGTCCCTGGCTATGAAATAAGGGCCCTGTTGCGAAGAAGCACTGAGACCTCGCAGCAGCCCTTGGCATTCTGGGGGAAACCTGGTTGTCAGAGGAGGCCTGTGTGGAAAGGAACGGTCTGGGATGTTTGGATGGGCAGAGAAAGCTTCAGGCAGAAGAAGCAAAGTCCCCAGCAGGAGGCATTGCAGGAGACAGACTTAGGATTCAGACGAGGGCTCCAACCCTGCCTCTGCCCAACGCCTAACCTCAAGCTCCGTGACCATCCGCTAACAACAGAATAACAACGCGCATGGCCTGGAGCTGGACGGTCATACCTTGCGAGGCAGAAGTGGGGCGGCTCCCACGAAGCGGCCGCAGCCTGTCGGCCGACCTCCCTCCAAAGGCCTCCTTTGGGGCCCGCCGGGACCCTGCAGCCACCAGGCTTCCAGGAGCTCGAGGCCGGTGGCAGCACTTCCACACCCTGTCCTCCTTCAGCTCAGACACAGGCTGCGTCCCCAGCAGCCCCTTCCCGGCCAGCTCTGCTGCTGCTGGCTGTGCTTGCACCCATTTCTGCAGTGGGTGTGTGCGTGCTGGCCTTTTAAGGCCGTTGCATTCAGGATCTCCGTGCTGAGTCAGGATCTCTGTGTTTTAGACACCACAGCATTTTCCCGTCTCCTTGGTCTCCTGTCCACCCAAACCAGCATGTCGACCGACAGCTTTCGGTTCCAGGCATGGAAACCCTTTGCAACAGCAAGATTTGGGTGCGTGAGCAGGTGCCGGGGAGGCTCCTTTGCACCTTGCTGGGTGATGCTGGGCAGTTCCCAGCGTGCTCGGTTTCTGTGTTTAACCACCCAGGGCAATGACTCTTACTCTCACCGTGAGGCTTAACGGAGGCCAGGTGACACATACAAAGCCCTCAGGCGAGCCACGCAGCACTTAAGAAATGGGAGTGGCTATTAGTCGTGAATAGTTAGAATAATACGCTAAGTCAGTGCAAATCTCACAGGATGTAATGTTATAGATTCACATAACAATGGTGAGATATGCTACAAATCAACAGATTACATAGCCTATTTTTTAAACCTTTGTATCAGTTTTACCCATTTCTGTGGCTTCTACGAAAGAAGATAGCTGGATTTTAAAGTCGTAGCTGCAGTGCTTTGCTGACCTGTTGGTTTATTTATTCGGCATTTCAATTTTTTTTCTTTTGGCGGCGCCACGCAGCTCGCGGGATCTTAGTTCCTGGACCAGGGATTGAACCTGTGCCCCCACAGTGAGAGCTCAGAGTCCTAACCACTGGACTGCCAGGGAGGCCCTTATTTGGTGTTTCATTTAACGACTCTTTTTTGACTACCTACTGGGGCTGAGCCCAGTTTGCAGTGCTGGGAGTGAACTGGGGACAGGACAGAGATGGTCCCCTGCTGCCACAGAGCTGACAATCTAGAGGGATGCGACCGAGCAACAGACACCGTGGCGGAAACTGCAGAGAAGAATGAGTCTCATAGCGGGAGAGGGTCAGCAGAGGAAGTGAGGGTGTGAGCCATGTGGCCATCTGGGCAAGAATCCCAGGCAGAGGGGTGGCAGGTGCAAAAGGCCCTGAGGTGGGGGCGCCGCTGGGCGTGGCCGGAGGGCTGTGGGAACGAGGTCATCCGGGGAGGGGATGCGCCACATGGGACCTGCAAGCGATGAGATTTGATTTTATCTCTGGTGAGGGGGAAGCCACAAAGGGCCCCCCGTCTGGGCAGGAGGGTGACAGGGCCTCACCAAGGTTTCACTGGGTCCTTGCTGGCTGCCGAGGACAGACTGAAGGGGGCAAGGGTGGCGCAGGGGGAGGCTGAGGGGCCCAGTAAGTGGGGGCCTGTGACCCTCCTCCCTCACTTTGGGGTATGTGACTTCTTGCCCCAAGGGTTTCATCTACGCCACTGAACTGGGACGCCCAGCTTCCCGCCTCTCCTGTGGGCTGTCCCGGTGCTTCCTGTGGGCCTTTCTCACTCGTGGTGCTAAAGGTGGGCCAAGCTGAGAGGCAACCCCCAGAGGGTACCGTTCACTTGTGGCCTGCGGGCTCCTCTCCAGGGTGCCACCTCTATAGAATGTGATGGGAATTGCGCCCCCTGGAGGTGTGCCGTGGGCGGTCCCGGCAAACGGCTCTGAGTCTGAGAAGACGTGGACGGTGGTAGGATGTTCTGCAGCGGCGTCCCCTCTTCCTGATATGTACTCTGAGTTGATACAGTCTGCACCTGCTCACGACACCCACGCCAAGTGTTTGGAGGAGGGTTCCTATCAGGTTCCATTCATGCAGTCATTCATTCACTCACACCCAGCCACCCTGCGGAGCCTCCCCCAAACCCTGTGAGGTACACAGGTGGGCCAGTGTCCCCAGTAGGACACCGGGGATCAGGAAGGTGTTGTGATTGGCTAACACACAGCAGTGAGGCCTGCGTCTCCTGACTTGGCTATTCTCCAGGCCAAACCTGATCTTCCTGCCGCTGGGCAGCGTCCCGCCAAGGGGCAGCCAGGCGGTGACAATGCCCTCTGCACCCACCAGGGGGCAGCAGACGATCATCGGTGCTGATGGCTGGAGGGTGGCTGGCTGCCTGAGTCCCAGCCCGGGCTCATCCTCTAGGTTGGTTCCCTGCCCAGGCAAGAAGGCCAAGAACAGTGAGGACACGAATAGGGTGCCCCATTCTGCCCCAAGCACTGTGCAAAGCACCTGGATGATTACTTCTGTTCAGTCCTCACCAGCGATTCTGACGGGATGGGGCGCTCCCCATTCTACAGAGAGGGAGGGCGGTCCTGCCAGGGAAAGGTGCCTGTGCAGGCTCTGGGGGCGGGGGTGGCTGGAGGCGCCGGGAGTCAGGCTCTGTCCCCCACTTTGTGATTTCTCGGGGTGATGCTAGAAGAAGCCGCCTGCTGCCGCGGGGTCATCTCCTTTTGTCTCGGGCAAGGCAGGCTCGATCTCACCCGTCTGAGGCAGGCTCCTTCCTGTCCGTGTCCAAGAAGGTGCCGCACCCGTTTCCTCGGAGGAAGGATGCCTGGACAGGAACTTGGAGCTCACCAGTCACTTGGCCTGATTTTACTCCTGCCAGAGTCTGGGGTGTGCCCTGGGAGCCCAGCCCCTCTTCCGCTCCTCTCTGTGGGCCAGAACCTTGCCTGGGTCCCCATGCTTCCTCTTCAGTTTGGGAAGGGGCCAGCCTGACTCTCTACAGAGGCCACTGCCCAGAACAGAGGGCTCAGGGGACCCTCACTGGGCTCGCAATGAGGTGGGGTGTCACCCTGCTCTGGCTCCTGCCCCAGGAATGCCAAAGGAAGAGGGGAACTGGGTCATAGGGGCGGCTGCCGGGTGCTGCCCCAGGGTTCAACCCAAGTGTGTGGGGATGCTCAGAGATTGGTCACCCCCAGGCTCACCCCATGACTGAGCCAGTCTTAGAGGGGGGATCAGACTTGCCCAGGGTCACCCGGCTGAGAGCCCAGGGCTCCCAACAGCTGAGCCAGGACCCACATCATTTCGTCGCCAGATGGGCTCTTTATGTTCTAGAAGCCCTCCCACTGTCACAGGAGGCCAGAGAACATTGCCCACCCCCTCCCGGAGGGCGTGGCCCAGGAAGGAGTTCAAGGCTCGGTCAGTAGACCCCGCAGCCAGCATGGAGGCGGGCGCTACCCAGGGCCGGGTCTGGCCGCATCTCTTTCCCTCTCTCCCACTTAACTTATGTCACATCTTCCATCTCGGACGCCAGGATTTGCCCAGCTGCGAGTGGCAGGCCTCTGGGTTTCAAAACAGGCGAATCCCGGCCTTTGTGCGAGGTCGGGGGGCTTCCTGCGGGTCCCTAGCCAGCGCACAGGATAGGAAGGGGATCTGGGCGAGTCCCCGGCCCGTGTGCCTCCCGCCTCGAGTTCTCCCGTGGGGACCAATTGGTGGACCGAGAGGGCGCGGGACGACTCCGCGCAGTAGGTGCCCCCGCCAGGGTCTGTCCTTCCCGAAGGACCGTGCAGAGGCCCCCCAGAGCGACAGGGGCCACCTCCTGAGCTCCTCCTGAAACGCAGGAGAGACGCAGAAACAACGACCGGCCATCACTCCACAGGCGAGGTCGCGCGCCCCGGGCGCAGAGCTTCCTCAAAATCTTGGTGCCCCTCGTAGAAGTCGGCGGACCCCGGGCTCCGGCCGCGCCGCAACCCCCGCCCTCTGCAACTTTTGTGAGCGGCAGCCGGGCAGGAAGTCGGGGGGGGCGGGGGCGGTGCCAGGCGAGCGCGCCGGCCCCGCCCCCACCCCGCCAGTGGCCGCGCCCCCGCGCCCCCCGCGCCCTGGAGCGGCTGAGCCGCGGAGTCGGAGCCCCGGGCGTGGAGCGCTGAGCGCGAAGGCGGGGCGAACAAAGCGGCGGCGGCGGCGGCGGCGAGGGCGGCCCAGGCCCCGGACGCGCGGAGCAGGCGACCCGCCGGGCCTTTGTCTCGGGCGGGGCAGGAGCTTCGGCGGCCGCGGAGCGCCCCGAGCGCAGAATGCGGCACCCGGCGGGGCGGATCGCGGAGCGCTGCGGCGGCGGGCTGCGCGGAGGCCGGCCCGGGGCCCGGGGGGACTTGTGTGTGTGAAGCGGGGGTCCGACGCGCTGCCCGGCGGCTGCCCCACGGCCGCACGTGGGCGGGAGCTGCGGCGCGCTAGGAGCCGGAGGAGGAAGAGGAGGGACGCGCGGCGGCGCAGCGGAGACCCGGGGCCGCCCGCGCGAAGCCCCGCCCCGGCCGCCGAGCCCCGCGCGGGCGGGCGGGATGCCCCGCGGCCGCTGCACTTCGGCCGGAGCGCTGCCCTGAGCCGGCCGGCCGGCCCAGCGAGCGGCGGGCGGGTGGGCGCCGCGGGCGCCATGGAGCAGTGGCGGCAGTGCGGCCGCTGGCTCATCGACTGCAAGGTCCTGCCGCCCAACCACCGGGTCGTGTGGCCCTCGGCCGTGGTCTTCGACCTGGCCCAGGCGCTGCGCGACGGCGTCCTCCTGTGCCAGCTGCTGCACAACCTCTCCCCCGGCTCCATCGACCTCAAGGACGTCAACTTCCGGCCGCAGATGTCCCAGGTGAGGGTCCGGGCGCGCCGGGAGGGGCCCTGGTTTGCGGTCCCGGGACCCCGGTCAGAGCGGCGGGCTCGGGGACGTCGGCAGGCGGCGGGACGGTGAGCGGAGCGGCGGCGCGCCCCGGGCCTCGGAACCGGCTCCTCCGAGGGGCGACCCCGGGAGGCACGAAGTTGGCAAAGTGCCCCAAGCCTGGGCTGCGCCTCCGCCGCCTCCGGGCCCTGCCTGGGAGCACCCGCTGCTGGGCCTGCGCCTCCCGGGGTGAGGGGCGCTCGAACCCCGGCGGGGCGCTCACCACTGACGCCCCTTCTCCCGGGCCTGGGCCCCGGGAAGCAGCGAGTGCCCCGCCCCCGCCCCGCCGCCGACCCCAGGATCCCGCCGAGCCGGTGGCCTCGTCAGGTGTAGGGTCCCTGGCTTCGCGCCTGGTGGCTGGACGCCCTGGAAGACAGGGGCTCGGGGCGCGGCGGGAGGGGCCCGGCGGGGCGGGGAGCCGGGAGCCTTGGGCTGGGGGCACCGCCCCCTCGCCGGCCTCAGCCTCCTCCCGAACCCTTTGAGGGGGGCAAGCAGCGCCAGTCCCCCAGGGTCGCGCGACTTGGTGGGAACAGGAGCCCCTTATGCTTCCCTGTACCCTCCAGTGTGGCCTTTGTCGCGGCCGAGGCGCATGTGGCTGCCGGGCGGGCAGGAAAATGTCTGCTTGGCCGGCGGGCGCTGCCTTTCGTGGCCCCTTAGAGGGAACTTGGCGAAGACTTAAGCAGAGTGGAGGCTGCTGTCCTGCCCCCCCTCCCCCACCGGGTTCCACGACCCCCACCCCAGCACCTCTGAAGGGGCCCTGGGTGCCCAGCGGGGCCAGGGGCCACCCCAGGTCTGGCCAGCACTGCCCAGGAGCAACCTTCCTGCTCACCCCACAGCCCCTTCTTCTGTGACCCTCTGGCCTTCACAAGCCAGTGTGACAGCTGAAACGGGCTGGGGGGAGGGGGATGGAGTGAGTCACTGCTTTTCCAGGCTGGACTGCGTGGCCTCTGCCCTTTGGCTGTGACCGCATTTCCAAGGAGATGGGGGCATTCCCCCCCTTCAGGGAGGATGGGGGTGGCCGCTGACCAAGAAGAGTCTTGAGGGGACGGGGGCAGGGGGCCACCCTCCCACTCCACGGGAAGCGGACGGCCCAGGGAGGGAGCCCTGGCCTGCCGTCTGGTCCCCAGGCCCCACTGAAGCCAGAACTATTCTGGGCCCTCTCAGTGCTAAGTAGCCCAAGTCCCCGGGACCGGGTGCCCTCAGATCCAGTCCTCTCCTCTGCCCTCACCCCCCTGGGGCCTGGGACATACTTACCCCATTTTGCAGCTGGGGGAACTGAGGGTGTTGGAGCTGCTGAGGGCAGAGCTGGGTCTTGAGCGGGAGTGTCTGCCTTCGGCTGTGAACTGCAGGGGCTGCCCAGGCTTGCTGGCTCCTGGCTGACTGGTAGAGAGCCTGGGGCCCAGGGCACGGCCGGGGGGTGGCTGGGGGCGTTGGCTGGGTCCCGGAGCTGCCCCTCCCAGCTGTGTTTGGCCAGGAAGGGGGAGAGGGCGCGCTGGCTGTGGTAGGTGGCCTGGCTCAGCCCCTGTGCTTCCTGGGGTCCCTGGAGCCATCCTTGGGCCAGCAACGCTGACCCGGCACAGTTTCCTTGAGCCCCCCTGCTCCAGCCCGGGTGAAGGGGTGTCGGGGGGGCTGGGCGGTAGGGAGACCCTGATGGGCGAGTGTCTGTGTCTTCATGGCCATGTGCTCTTATTGAAACCTGGCACTGTCACCTCCCTGTAGTGACCGCTTTGGGGGCCTCAGTTTCCCAATCTATGTAATGAGGACAGTACTAGTGGCTGCCTCATAGCCAGGTTGTGAGGACTCGGCGAGGGGAGGGTAGAGAACATCCTTAGTGCTGCGCTGGATGGACGTTAGAGATCTTATCTGGGCAGGTGTGGCCCCTTGTGTCTGAGGGCTGGTCTCCCCTGCCTGTCCTCTTACGGAGGGTGGGGCTGGTCACACCCATCTTTGTGTGTCTCTTGCTGGCACAGGGATGGCTGGGTTAAGGCGCATGGCCCCATCTGTGTATTCACGATTAAAGAAACAATTCTCTTGACCATGTATGGCCGTGCAGGGTTTGGGAGAGGAACGTGGCGGTCTGTCTGTGTGGCTGTTCTTTGCTGTGTGGGGAGGAGGGGAGACGACGTGGTCCTCCGGGTCCGTGGTGGTGGTATCACAAGAAAAGTCACAGCTGCCTTTTCTTACCCGCCCTGCCCTGAGCTAGTCATGATTCTGGGAGGCATATGTCACCCCTGTTTCATGAATGAGACAGCTACAGCTCAGAGAGGTCAAGTGACTTACCCCACATCACACAGGTAGTAAGTGGTAAAACTAAAACCTGGACTTAGGTCTCCCTTCCAGGACTGTTTATTTCAGAAGCCTTCCCTCTGCTGTCTCGCTGAGTTTCTGATGGATGCTCCTGGCCCGCTTCTCAGGGTGTTCACGGTGTGTGTCTGTTTCCGTGGGATGGATGGGGTGGGGAGTGCGTGCCTGTTTCCTGGGGGGTCTGGACACTTTGCTGGCAAGTGGGCAGGGCCCTTCCGTCTTCCTGCTGTCGCTCTGTGCCCTCACGTGGACCCGTCCAGCTCAGAGGCCTTGCCTGACGTCCCCTCGTTCCAGAATGCCGCTCTGGCTTCTCCTGTGACAGGTGACATCCTGTTTTCCAAGTATTGCACTTCGAGCGCCCCTCCCGTTTGCTGCGTGGATCTCAGCTGGGTTATTGGCCCCAAAGGCGCGTGATAGCCACACGCACTTGCTGAGCATCTGCTGTGTATAGAGCCCCAGGTGCTAGGAAGGGTTCACAGGCAGATCCAAGCTGCCCCTTGTCCTGCCCTTCTGGATCTGCTCGGGTGTGCTCTGTTTTTTTTATCCAAAATGCCTGGCAGCCACGTTGGGTTTAATTAAAGTAATTCGGTACGGCCAAATCTGCTGACCCTAATGAGCCCGCGTGTGTCTGGAACAGCTTCAGTTACGAGGTCCTGAGGTCGCTGATGCCAGCAGACGGCCCTTGCGTTTGGTCTGCAGTCTGAATCTTTAGGGCACCAGCCGCCCAGCCTTTTGCCCCCCCACCCTGGCAGGCCTCCTCTCCGTAGAACAAGGCTGGGAAGCTCGGCTGCAGGGACACGGCAGAGAGAGCTCCCCCACGCCCACACCTCCAGCTTCAAGTCCTTCCCGTCCCAGCCTTGTGCCGACGTTCCAGCCTGCGCCCCCCCTCCCCTAAGCCTTTTCCATCAGGGTCCATCGTGTGCCGGGCCCATGCTGGAAGACTACTCCTCCTTTTGTCCTGGTTCTTCCTGTAGGAGCTAGTCTAGTGGCTGCCTCCTCTAGGAAGCCTCCTCTGATTTCACTCTTCTCCCATCCTGAGGCGTTGCGAGCCTGGCCCTTGACCCCCCGCCCCCCTCCCCACCATGTACCGGGTATGTACCTCTAACCCTGCGTTTTCCACACTTTGCTTTAGTAAACAAGCATCCCTCGGAGCCACGCTCGTAGCTCACTGTCCTGAACCCAGGACGGTGAATCCCTCCCCCTCCGGACTGGTGTGAGCCCTCCCAAGGGGTCTCCGGGTCCTGCCGAGACGGGCCTCCCTTTGCTGCTGTGTCATTCCGGTCCTTCCTTCGAGGAATAATTGCGAGCCCCTGTGCTTCCAGGCAAGGGCCCAGTCCCTGCTCCAAGATGCTTTCAGGTGAGCAGGACACATAGCAGGTTGTTGAGGTGCCTGTGGATGAGGAAGTGGCCTTTAAAGTGTCCTGAGAGCTCCCAAGTGCAGGCAGGGGGACGCGGTTCCTGAGGCCAAGGGGTGTGATACCTGGGCTGCCGGGGAGCAGGGACACGGAGGCCGATTCCAGCGGAAACTAGGACGCCTTTTCTTTTCAAGTCACGTTTTGTTTTTGTTTTTTTTTTTAAGATTTTATTTATTTATTTATTTATTGGCTGCTCTGAGTCTTCCGTGGCTGTGCGCGGGCTTTCTCTAGTTGTCGAGGGCTGCTCATGCGGTGGCTTCTCTTGTTACGGAGCACAGGCTCCAGGCACGCGGGCTTCAGTAGTTGTGGCACACGGGCTTAGTCGCTCCGCGGCATGTGGGATCTTCCCGGACCAGGGATGGAACCCCTGTCCCCTGCACTGGCAGGTGGATTCTTAACCACTGCGCCACCAGGGAAGCCCCAGGTTTCGTTTTAAGTGTGAACATATCTTGACACTCGAGAGTAAGTTGGTGCCCTGCACCCTCATATTTCCTACAGAAGAAGGTCCCCTCTGCAGCCACAGAGCCGCCACCTGAACCCGGGAAACAGCGGGGATGGTGCCGCCTTGGAATCCACTCGAGCTTCAATGCGTGTCTCCACAAATGCCCATTTCAGCAAATGGTCCACCTGGGGGCTGGGACGGCCCCTCCGCCTCACCTTGATTTTCCCGACCTGGATGCCTTTGAAGGTGACAGGCCCCTTTTGTTGCAGAATGTCCCTCCCTTTGGGTTCATCTGCCGTTTCCTTGCGTTGGATTCAGGCTTTGCACCCGGAGCGGGTGGAGTGAGCACGCTGTTGCCTTCTCCTGGCATCCTGTCTAGTAGGTGGCACGTGGTTTCCAAGCGTCCCCTGGCTGGGGGTGTTGGTTGTAACCACTTGACGCCGGCACTGTTTGCCGGACAGCTGCGCCGCGAAGGCCCTCCGATCCCCCTTGTAGGTCACGAATATTCTTGAGAAGGTGCTTTGAGACAGTGACAGGATCAGTCCTCCCTCCCTCCCTCCCTCCCTCTTCTCTTCCTCTTTTCCTTTCCTTTCTCTCTCTGTCTGCCACTGTGGATTGTGGTTTCCTAGCCTCTTCCACGGATTCTCATTTGTTACCGTCACTCTTTATTTTGACGCTCAGATGGTCTCAGGTTTGACCAGTGGCAACTGCTTCAAGCTGCTTCCGTGTGTCTTTTTGACACGTTCCCATCATTTTGTGAGCTCTGTCTCCTTCCTGGCACAAGATATCTGAGCTCATCTTGTATTTTATTTTGTCCAGCTCTGGAATCAGCCGTTTGTGGAAGGAGCTCCGGGTCCGCAGTGCAGAGGCATATGTAGAAACCAGGATCTGGGTGTAGGCGCACCTGTGCTGGGGTGTCTCAGCCCTGAGACCTGGGCAGTGTGCACCGCTGAGTTAACACAGGCGTGTGTGTGTGTGCGTGTGTCCCCGTCTGTGTGCTGCACGTGTTCACATTTGTACTTCTGTATCAGTGCTGTCAAGTAGAAAACGTGTGAGCTGCATCTGTCTCTTAAAATTCCTGGTGGTCACATTAAAAAAGTGAAAAGAACTGTGTAACGTTAATTCTAATAATACATTTTATGTAATCCATGACCAAGGGGGCAGAAATCAGATCTGTGGGGGTAAAGAAATCATATTCTTTTTATGCATCAAGCACAGATGTACCCAGAGAAAAGAACAGTACGGTACAGATATACAGTACATCTGTGGTATTAAAATTTCATGCGGGGAGGGCGATTAAGACAATGCTGGGAAAGGCTCCTTAGGGGGGGTGATACTGACAAGAAGGTTGAGAGACGCTGATTTCCCGAATATTACCATTTCCAGGCGGCAGGGTTTGTGGCACCCAGTTTGTGCAGCAGGGGGTGGGGATGGGGGAGGCGAGAGCAGAGGCCGGTGGACCAGGGGTCTCGTCTTTAGCACTGACCTGCTGGCTGGAGGGTCATTTGCAGGGCTGTGTGGGGCAGGGTCCGAGGCTTGGGTCTGGAGTTGGCAGGGAAGGCCGTCGGGCATCGCCTGCCCAGGCCATGGGTGGGCGCAAGCTGGCGTTGGTGGAACGTGGTTTGTTTGTGCCACGTGTGCTGATGACAGAAACCTGGCTTTGGCGTGGGCTGCCGGGGTGGAACGGCGAAGAATGCTGTGTTGGGTGGGGAGTCCGTCGCGAGGGGCGGCCCTCACCTGTCTGTGGTCTGGGCCCTGGAGATGGGGCATCTCCGTGCCGGGGATGGGGGCCCTGCTGCGCGTGGGCCCAGGGCCTGACAAGGGTGAGAAGGCACAAGGTGACCCCCCCGCCCTGGTGTCTCATCTCAGCCCGTTGCTGCCATGAGGTCCACGTGACCGAGGATGTCGCCTCCCCGGCAGGGCGGTGCCCTCCAGCCCCTGACTCCTGTCCCCGTGTCCAGGCCACGTCTGTGGCTGCCTCTTCCCAGGACAGGGCAGTGCTGCTGGGAAGACGCCCTGCAGCCCTACCGCTGAGACCCTGCCAGGTGGACCTCCCTCCCGACTGCCCCTTGAACCCAACTGCTTCTCCCCCGGCGCCCAGCCGGCAGCCACCACCCCCTCCCAGAGCAGGGGTGGGCAGACGTTTTCTGTCGAGGGCCAGGCA